AGCACAGTCAGTCCCCCAATGGGTGGAACCGGTGCACCCTTCGTTGCTTCTGCACTGCCCTCAAATCTTTCCCAGGAACATGCCAGCCTCAAGAAAATTCTCTGGGACCGGCAAAAAGCACTCTTTGCCTGAAGCACCTCCAGTGCCGTCAGACGTCGCCGCCCCCTTTTCTTGGGGGTCGGCGGCACGGCGTCAGCCCTTAAATAACCCATTATAGTAGTTTCCAATTTCTTTTCCATTATGCCATTATATCCCCAATATAATTATCACCTATATATAACCCCTATATAACCCCAATATTAGCAGAAGCCATCCCTATGAGATATTCTATCTTCTTAAGGGGAACTATGACAGAAGCAGGCCATACCTTCCTTCACGAACAGCCTTGGGTGAGGGTCGGGAAAGTAGATAGAATATCGGTTTTATAGGGCTGTATAGGCTGTATAGGGGTTATATAGGGGTAATGGAAAAGAACATGGAAACTACTATTCAGGGTTCAGGGTTTAGGGTTGGATATATAGTCCCCCTTTAGTAGATGGAATATCAGTTTTTAGAGGCCTGAAAGGGGTTGTATAGGGGTAGTGAAAAAGAAAATGGAAACCACCATTTAGGGTTTAGGGTTTAGGGTTGGATACATGGTCCCCCTTAAGTAGATAGAATGTTGGGCTTTATAGGCCTTAAAGGGGTTGTATAGGGGTAGTGAAAAAGAAAATGGAAACCACTATCTAGGGTTTAGGGTTTAGGGTTGGATATATGGTCCCCTTAAGTATATGGCTTATTTTTGGTCCTAGACCTGAACAGCCATGCAATTGATTCATCCACTAAGAATTGCCATACCATTCCCAAATTCAGGAGTTCTATAACCAATTTAGCTAGCCTGTCTGCGGTTCCCGCGCCCGTGTCGCGCCTCCGCAAGCGCGGACGTAGTCCGAATGCCACTTCTCAGGGAGAAGCTGCATGATGGGGACCTCGTGCGAAACAGATAAGGTATAGTCTAAACGCCTAATCCCCCTTAATGACCCCTATAATACTCCCCTATATATTGCCCTATATCACACCTTTATTGAGTTCAGACTATGTGGACCCCCAATGTATATACGATGTTGTCCTTTGGAACCATTGAAAAGCGTTTTGGGCCATTCGTTTACCCACTGTTTAGGGGTTTCTCTAAGTTCCCTGGACCACTGGTAGAAATTTTAATTTCAGCTGGTTGTTACGATGATAGATACAAGAAATTTAAAATCATGTTCAGAGACCTTCCAGGCTTCGGTATAGCTCAGATGAGTGATGCTCTCATCCATCACTAAACTTTTAAACGTGAGCTGAAAAACTTCAAGTATCCTGCTTGATAATCCCTATACGACTACTCCCCTATAGAATCCTCTATATAACTTAGGAGGACCCCCCACCCTATAATAGTGGTATACTAGGAATATAATAGGACCCTAATATAATCTCTTATAGTCACTATTACTGGGCGGGGGGTCCACCTAACCTATACCCTTACCCCCATTATAGTAGTTTCCATTTTCTTTTCCATTATCCCAATATTACCCCAAGATAACCCTATTATACCCCCTATAAACCCCATAATCCCTCCCCCTTTAAGGAGTTGAGACTATAGCCTAAACCCTAAACCCTAAACCCTATAGCTTTGGTCCCCACACTCCCCGGGCCTCGATGAAGTCGGGCTCGGGATGGTCGAGGGCTTTGTCGTAGCTGTCCTCAAAGATCAAAGGCTGCTACTCCATCTGATTAGGGTTTAGGGTTTAGGGATATGGGATTAAGGTTTAGGGTTTAGGGATTATGGTTTCGGGCTTAGGGTTGTATAGCTATAGTCTAAACTCCCAGTATCCTCCGTAATAATAGTAGTCCCCTATTTAGTCCCTATATAACCCCCCGTTAAGGAGTTTAGAATATAGCTCATCATGCAAGGTTGTCATTGCAGTGCACCCAGCAGTTGATGGGTCCTGCGCTCTGAAGCCGTGAGGCTTTATTCTACCCAAGTTGGGTTAGTGACGGCCATTTCCACTACCTGAACCCCAAAAGTATATATAAAACATTGGCCTCTTTGGCTGTTTTAAGGGAATTTGGGCCATTATGTTCCCGACTTTCGGGGCCCAGGTACGACATGTAATCATAAACTCAAACCCACACCCCTACACCAAAAACATACCTTAGACCCGCCCGAAACTCAAAGCAAACGACCTATTATGGACCCGAAACCATACCCTTACACGAACCCCACAATAGATCCACCAGCATACAGAAGCCCACAATATGCCCACTAGAAACCCGACGAATCTATTCAAACCATCCCAAGACCCGACATACCTTAACACACAGAAAAGCAAGTAGTATCCAACCCCAACTACCTGAGGTGAGAAAATGGAAGCTGTCATCTCAAAACAATTTTACGATGATAGGAATAAGCTTTAGGTCTAAGGTTGTGAGCCATAATCTGCAACATCTTAAGGATACAGCCACGTTATACTCATTACTTGTCAATAGGAGTTTTAGGCTAATCCCTCTTATACAAGTGATCTTCTAAAGGCTCGTCCTTCAATCACCACTGATGAACGTGATTGAAGGCTTTGCCAATGTCAGGTTCAGTTTTCTCGGGCTCGTGTTTTGATTCATTAATATTCATTAGGGAATTGTTCGTTCAATTGTCTGCGGATCATCCGTTTCTGCTTCATGTATTACCAATGGTCACAGCCTCAAAGCCGCGAACTTAAATTCTGAAAGCTGGGAGTCTGATCTTAGCCAAGTCCGAGGAAGGCAGTGTTCTTGGATGC